GGCCGGCGGGGCCTGTGTCCGGTGCCCAGTGCGGCTGGCGGGGCCTGTGTCCGGTGCCCAGTGTGGCTGGCAGGACCTGTGCCCGGTGCTGCCCAGAGGGAGCGTGGCAGACACCGTGTACGGAGGCAATGGGATCTCCACTTCCAGTCTACATGCTAAGACTTGCTAGCTGGTGGCTTCTAGAAGCGTCTGCCAAGAGCACATTCTGATACGTTTGTATGTTCCTAAAGCTTCCTTTCCCTCCATGCCCGTAGGGGAGTGAACAGGCAGGGCAGGATCGTGTCTGGGGCACTGTCACCCGCACTGCCCCAGGGCCGCCCTTCCCGGCAGCAGGGCAGAGCCGCACTCTGGTGATGTCCTGCAGCCCAGGCCCAAGCTGCTCGTGGAGCAGGTGCCGGGAGAGCTCCTTCCTATCCAGGACGCAGGAGCCCAGGGGCCCGTGGCAGGCGGCTGGACAGGCCCCTGGCCAGGGCCCTCGGATGACACCCCCACCCTAGACACCAGCAGAGCCATCCCTGGCCTCTCCGGGCAAATAAGCAGCATCTGGGGTAGGGTGCCTGGGGGGGGGGCTGGTGGCTGGGGTTCGGGTACGGCTGCAGTTTCCCACGGGGTGAGGGCAGACCCGGGCCTGGCACGCCACCCCCTGCCTCCCGCCCCCCTCTCCACCTGCTCCTCCTGTGGCCCCACGGGAGACCCTGGGGTCTGGGGCCTGGGGTCCTGAGAGGAGGTCACGCCAGCCTCTGGGGGATCACCTCCCCACAGCTTCCTTCCCCACCAGGGTTCCGGCCAGGATAACTGCCACACCTCCGCCCAGACCCGGGTGGCAGGAAGAGTCTCAGCCTGAGGCCGGGCCTGTGTTCGCGTGTGCAGCCACGCTGTGGGTGGGCTCCGCACGGCAAAGCCAGGGGCCTGACGCCTCCTCTGTCCTCACCAGCCCCTTCTCTGGGGAAGCACGCATCTTCTGTTTCGGTTATATCATTTCGGGTTGTATCATTCAACCCAGACCTGGAACTCACAATCCTCCGGCTCAGCTTCCCAGGGGCCGGGATTACAGGCACACACCCCCACACCAACCTAGCCAGTAAACACTTCCCAATCACATCAGAGTGAGATCTTGAGGCCACGGAACCCAGGTGTGTTTACTTAGAATGCTGCATTTGAAAAGAACAAATGTCTCCAGGACCTTCCTGATTATAGGGCTGAAGCAGTGTGCTCTGGTGGTGGTCTTTAGGGTTGTTATATTGTTTAGTTAGAAATAACTAATCAGTGCAGAAAATCTTCTCAAAGGGGGTTTTAATCTGTGGTCTGGTTTCTGAGAGAATAAGAGAGAGTTTCCCAGTGAAACGGCTGCGTGTGTTGTGAACACTATAGGAGGGTCAGCTCCTCCATTAACAGTGGGAAGCATTTCAAAGTTCTCCTCTACCCATGAGTGTTCATTTGATTCCTAATCTGGAGAAGCGTGCCCTCAACAACTTGCGCACAGTGAACTCCTGCAATTGTAGAATCTCCATTTGCTAAAAAGAGGAATGAGAAAAAGAGGGAGAAAACCAAGAATCAACTCTAGCTCCCGTAGAGGTAGAGATCAGGAAGATTGGGGTGAGACCAGCCTGGGCAAACAGTTCATAAAACCTCATCTCAAAAGAAAAGGCCAGGCTGGTGGCACGTGCCTGTCATCTCAGCTATGGTAGGAAATGTAAATAGGTGGATCAGAGTCCAGGCCAGTCCAGGTATAAAAGTAGTTTCAGCAAAAAAGGCAGGCCCGGCCCGGCGGCCGCTCACCTTTGCAGTTCCCGCGGTAGGCGATCTCTAGCTGGGGGTCCTTGCACTTGGCGCGCTGGAACTCACAGCGGGACAGGAAGGTCCTCCCGTCGGACGCGCACAGCGGCCGCTGCGGGGAGCCCGTGCAGTCCGCGCTGCAGTCTCTGCCTTTGTCTTGATCCACTCTCAGGAACTTGGGAGGAAAAGAAGAAGCCAGACAAAGTGAAGGCCTGTCCCGCCCTGCCACGGAGAAGGAGATTCCCTGACGCCCCCAAGGCCAGGGCAGGCCCGGAGGAGTGAAAGAAGCATCTCCCAGGTCTCTCTGGGAAGTCTGGGCAGCGCGGGGTAACCTCTGGCCCTCTGTTTGTCTGGTGTGAACTGGGGGTAACCTCTGGCCCTCTGTTTGTCTGGTGTGAACTGGGGGTAACCTCTGGCCCTCTGTTTGTGTCTGACGTGAACTGGCGCGTGCGCCTCCATCTGTGGGAGGGGTTTCTGCCCTCTCTGCTTTCCCGCTGTGGAGTGTGTGAGTTGGTGCCAGGGGAGGCCCCCGGGGCGCCCTCCTCCCCTGCCGTGCTCAGAGGATGCCACCAGGAACGGGCTCCCCCCACACCACAGGACCCCAGAGACACAGGCCAGCGGAGCACGGAGCACGGTGGCCAGCGGAGCACGGAGCACGGTGGCCGTGGAGCACGGAGCACGGTGGCCAGCGGAGCACGGAGCACGGTGGCCAGCGGAGCACGGAGCACGGCGGTGGCACACGCTGTGTGCGGACACACCCCACCTCCCGTTTCTGACCCCTCCTTTCCTCTCTCACGACCTGAACCCCGGCTCAGAGCTCGCTGCCTCCCAGGGTCTTAGTTACTGACCCAGAGGCTCCCGCCTGCTCCCGGCCTCATCCCTGACCCACTCTGCGTGCCCCACACCCTTCCTCCTGTCCGCCTGCGTCTCACGCCAGACAAGCCATGGAAGTGACTTCCACCAGGCACCGGAGCCTGGCACGGTCACAGGCGGGGCGTGGACACTCACCCTTCCCAGGCATTTGTTGTCTGATGTACAAACCATCAGGATGTGTCAGAGAAACATGGGAAAGAAAAGGAAAGAAAAGGCACCTCCGGGTGAGTGCAGCCTTGATACCCACAACACTGTACCCTCATCTTCTGAGGCCACAGACAGGCTCCTCTCCCTTCCAGAGCTCAGCAGCCACCCTCCGTCCAGAGCATGAGCCAGGGTGGGCGTGACGGAGCCCCCAGGGTGGTGGTGACAGAGCCCCCAGGGTAGAGGTGATGGAGCCCCTAGGATGGAAGTGATAGAGCCCTCAAGTGGAGGTGATAGAGCCCCAGGGTGGAGGTGATGGAGCCCCAGGGTGGAGGTGATGGGGCCCCTAGGATGGAAGTGACGGAGCCCCTAGGATGGAAGTGATGGAGCCCTCAAGTGGAGGTGATGGAGCCCCCAGGGTGGAGGTGATGGAGCCCCTAGGATGGAAGTGATGGAGCCCCTAGGATGGAGGTGATAGAGCCCTCAAGTGGAGGTGATGGAGCCCTCAGGGTGGAGGTGATGGAGCCCTCAGGGTGGAGGTGATGGGGCCCCCAGGGTGGAGGTGATGGAGCCCCCAGGGTGGAGGTGATGGAGCCCTCAGGGTGGAGGTGATGGAGCCCCCAGGGTGGAGGTGATGGAGCCCAGGGTGGGTGATAGGGGCACCATTTCAGAAGCACTCCCAGACAAAAAAATGGTTCTTTCTCAAATTGTTCAATTTCAAGCAGTTTTGAGAAGTTGGTTCACCTGCTATGGTGACTCACGTGCATCTCAGTCATGAGCAGAGAAAACACATTGCTGCCGCCCCACACATTCCCAAACCCTGCCTTTACCCCAGTGCACGGAGCAAGCACATGGCATTCACCAAGCCACCCAGGTCACCCTGCACCAGAGCGTTTTCATGTTCTACCAGGGAGGGCACCCAGGGAATGTGGACATGTGAGGACCTGGAGGGACAGTGGCCCTTAGGAGCAGGTGGTCCTCGGGGTGCACTGGGGGTGGTCCTCAGGATGCACTGGGGCGGTCCTCGGGGTGCACTGGGGGCGATCCTCGGGGTGCACTGAGGGTGGTCCTCGGGGTGCACTGGGGGTGGTCCTCGGGGTGCACTGGGGTGATCCTCGGGGTGCACTGGGGGTGGTCCTCGGGGTGCACTGGGGGTGGTCCTCGGGGTGCACTGGGGGTGATCCTCGGGGTGCACTGGGGTGGTCCTCGGGGTGCACTAGGGGTGATCCTCACGGTGCACTGGAGGTGGTCCTCGGGATACACTGTGGGTAATCCTCATGGTGCACTGGGGGTGGTCCTCGGGGTGCACTGGGGGTGGTCCTCGGGGTACACTGGGGATGGTCCTCAGAGTGCACTGGGGGTGATCCTCGGGGTACACTGGCGGTGGTCCTCGGGGTACACTGGGGATGGTCCTCGGAGTGCACTGGGGGTTGTCCTCGGGGTGCACTGGGGGTGATCCTCGGGGTGCACTGGGGTGGTCCTCGGGGTGCACTGGGGGTGGTCCTCGGGGTGCACTAGGGGTGATCCTCATGGTGCACTGGAGGTGGTCCTCGGGGTGCACTGTGGGTGATCCTCATGGTGCACTGGGGGTGGTCCTCGGGTGCACTGGGGGTGGTCCTCGGGGTACACTGGGGATGGTCCTCGGAGTGCACTGGGGGTGATCCTCGGGGTACACTGGGGGTGATCCTCACGGTGCACTGGGGGTGGTCCTCGGGGTGCACTGGGGGTGATTCTCACGGTGCACTGGGGGTGGTCCTCGGGGTGCACTGGGGGTGATCCTCATGGTGCACTGGGGGTGATCCTCGGGGTGCACTGGGGGTGGTCCTCGGGGTGCACTGGGGGTGGTCCTCGGGGTACACTGGGGATGGGCCTCGGGGTGCACTGGGGGTGGTCCTCAGGGTACACTGGGGGTGGTCCTCGGTGCACTGGGGTTCAGTCTGCACCCTGCTGGCCCTACACAGTGGTGGCTTTTCTGTTTGCAGCATGGCGAATTTCGATGGATGGACTGGCTCTCAAAGCATGGCTGGAGGAGGAGGAGGAGCACGTGGCCCATCTCAGTAGGGGGCCACAGCCAGCTCCCTCCTAGATGAAATACAAAATTCCTAAAGCCTGTGGTGCTGGTGTGGGAGCAGCGGCACTGGACCCTGGCTGAGGACAGTTATCGCCTCTATGTTTTTATTTGAAAAAAAAATCTAGCTTTCAGGCATTTGGATTCTGACAGCAAAGCTTGCTCCTTTAATGGTGCAGCGCTCACAATGGAGGTGTGCACTCCCAGAAATGAGAACGCACACCCTTTATGCACGGGTTTTCGTCCTCCCGCTTAGTATCAATTACATTCCCAGGGGACAGCGCATGGACAAAATTATGCTTTAGAACTATGTTGCATTTTTTAATAAACAGAACTAATGAAGAAAAATATAATAGTCTTGTTCTGTTCTTTATTAAAAGAATTTTGTTTAGAGTCCTCAAACTGAGTCACAGTAGGAAGCACTTTGCCAAATTTGGAATTGAGTCAATTGGACCACAGGTGACTTTCATTTTTTAAAAAGCCTCTGCATTGCAATTGCATGTTCCGCTCTCTTAGTTTTACAGGCGGCTGTGTTTGCACAGGTGTGAGCAGAGCAGGTGTAAGGAAGGCACACACAGGCCTGCACATCTGTGGAGAATGTAAGCCGAGCACAATGGATCAAAGACAGGGTCTACGCTTTTCCCTAATAAACGCCTACATCTAAGCCAAAAGAATACTATTTAAGTAAAGCCCAATCAGTTAAGAAACCCTCGAATACACTCTCCGAATCAGCGTGGATGGCATTCTCTGGCCACCACCTCCGTACACGCCCGCATGACAGCAGACTTGAACACCAGGAAAACTGCTGAGGTGTGAAAGTGGCTGGCGGCAAGTTTCCTGGAGCTGCCGTCTCCAAACACGGCAAACTCGGGGCCACAGCGGGGTGGGCAGCTACGCAGAGGGGCTGGCGTCTACGGGGATCCCCCAGGGAGCAGGGCTGACGGGAAGAGGGTGCTGTGACACAGCGGTGGGTGCTCTGCTTGGGAGGCTGGTCTCCACTCCAAAGGCCGGACCTCCCCTGCCGCCTCGGGGGAGCATGGCGGACACTCCCGCAGGGACTTCACCCCAGACGGAGAACCACGTGTCCCTGTCCCTGACAGAAGGACCTGAGCTGCTCCTGTGGGCTCTGCCCGGCTCTGCCCTTCCTGAGGCTAAGCCCGGCTCCTCCCCTGCCCAGGCCGGCACCCCGAGAGGACGGCTGGAAGTGCCTTGCTCAGGGCTCGGGGAGCGCCAGGTGCACATCCGCACCCAGCCCCTCTGGGCTCCGGAAGGCTCCGTGCCAGCCCTGCAGAGGTCCATGTGGAGCAGGCCGGGCTGAGGCCGAGGCCTGGCTGGTGACCGGTGGTGCTTCCTGAGGACAGAGACCAACTGAGGACCCCAAGCAGAGCCCCGAGGCCTCCCACATGGCAGAGAAGGCCCGGAATACGGGCACCGGTGAGCAGCCACGCACCGCGGGCTGATCCCAGAGGCCTGGTGCGGGGAGGCAAAGCGGGCATGTGTGCGCCTCCCTGCTCCAGCCCTGGGGAACTCCAAGGAGGAGAGAAAGCCGGCTTTCCCAGCACACCCGAACGACGAAGAGGATGGAGGAACCCGCGGCTCAGCGGCTGGGAAGGGCGGCACCGCGAGGGGACCAGACGGCGAGGCAGAGGTCCCAGAGAGCGAGGCACACAGCCTGGGCACAGCAGGTCCCCAGGGAGCAGCACAACTGCATGTTCACATGCGGACCGACCCTGGGCAGAACGGGACAGAGCTACAGCCTCGCTCTCTCCTCTCTCCCTCCCCCTCTCTTCTCTACTCTCCCCTTTCATTCCTGTCTCCCCCATCGCTCTCCCCCTCTCCCCCCGTCGCTCTCTTCTCTCCTCTCTCCCCCCTCCCCCTCCCCTCTTTCCCTGTCTAGCTCTGCCATCCTCACCTGTGTGTGTGCCCCTTGCTCCCTCCACACTCTCTCTGCCTTTATTGCTTATTCAAGTGGACATAAAACCTTTTATAGGTGTTTTGCAGGCACGTGCCGGCCTTCAGGGCCCTGAGCAGCCCTTGTGACCACCCCCAGCTTCTCAGCTCATTTGACACCTCTGTCCTAGAGGACCTGAGCTGCCCGCTGCTGGCCATGGCAGGTGCTGGCAGCCTCTTGCTCTGTGATTTTCTTCTTTCCCAGAACATTTCTTTTTTATTTATTTTCCTTCCCTGACTTCACTTCAATATTAATTTCAGTGATGAAAACGGATATCCTTGCTTCTCATTAGTACTTCTTGGAGAAAGGCGGCTCTTGGACTAGTCATTGTTCCCGATTCATGTTTATTTGAGTCTCAGTAGGAAGTTTGTTATTCTAAATTCTCCCTAGTCAGATTTCATGTGGATGATGTGACTTTAATTCTAGAATGACCTTTGACAGGAAATCATGACCTTTCTCAGCACTCGCTCATTGCTCGGGGTCAGAGGTGAGGTATGTGTGAAGTGGATCGGACAAGCAGGCTGGCGAGCTGGCCAGCTGGGAGGGGACAGGGGCCATGGGGCAGGGCCTCAGCCCTCAGAGGACGCTCAGCCTTCATGCTGGAGCAGGGAAGCTGTGGAGACGCTGTTTCCCAAGCCCGAGGCTCAGGATCCACACGGGGCCCAGCCAGCATTTGCTCCATCAGTGTCATGTCCAGAAGAGCCGGGTCAGTGTGGACATGAGGGCCACTCCGGGTCCCTCGAGGACTGTGCCTGAGAGTGGCAGTGCAGGGTGGAGGAGGCAGGGGTGAGGGCAGGCGGGGCACAGTGCTGGGCTGGTGGGAGGCAGGGGTGAGGGTGGGCAGGGGTGGTCAGTCACTAACACCAGCAGCCTGGCAGAGGTGCATGGCGTTAACCGGAACATTCACTGCCTCCCCACTTCCAGCCTCCCCTGACCTCTGTGTGTGCCTCTTCCCAGCCTCCTGAGTTTTACCTCCTAGATCCTTCCACACTGCCCAATCACCCCGGGGGCTACAGAGCCCAGCTCTGCACATCCTGTGCCACCCGCCCCATGCAAACCTCTCCTCCACACACTGGCACGTTTCACACCAGAGGGCACAGCGGCAGGGGAGAGGGGAGAGGGCACAGCGGGCAGGGGAGAGGGGAGAGGGCACAGCGGCAGGGGGGAGGGCACAGCGGCAGGGGAGAGGTGAGAGGGCACAGTGGGCAGGGGAGAGGGCACAGCGGGCAGGGGAGAGGG